ATAATGATTGAAGAGGCCTAGTGGCACAGTAGTTAAAGCAGTAGGCTGCTAACCAAAAGATCAGGTGTTTGAACTCACTAGCCACTCTGCAGGACAAAGAGGTAGTAATCTGTTTCCGGAAAGATTTACAGCTTTGGAAACCCTATGGGACAATTCTGCTCTGTCCTATAGGGTTGTAATGAATTGAACTTGCCTCAATGGCAGTAGGTTAGTTTTAGTTTTCATATAATGATTAAGGACCCATGGTAGCATAGTGATTAAGCACTTGGCTGCTAAACGAAAGTTTGGCAGTTCAGATACACCCAGCCACTCCCCAAGAGAAAAGACCTGGCATGTGTTCTTGTAAAAATTAGACTAGAAATTAAACTACCCTGTGGGGCAGTTTTACTCTGTCATATTGGGTCACTATGAGTCAGAATCAACTTGACGACCCATAACAGCAACATAAATATAATGCATAAGGAGCCCTGGTGGCACAACAGTTAAGCAGTCGGCTTCTAACTGATCGATTTGCAATTACGACCACCCAGCCACTGCACTGGAGAGAGACCTGGCAATCTGCTGCCATAAAGATTGGTTGATTCTAACTCATGGTGACCCTGTAGGACAGAGTAGAACTTGCCTATATGGTTTCCAAGGCTGTAATCTTTATTGAAGCAGACTGCCATGTGTTTTTCCTCATGGAGTAACTGGTGAATTCAAACCTTCAATCTTTTAGTTAGGTGAGGGCTTAATCACTATGCAACCAGGGCTCCTTTTATAAAGATTATAGCCTAGAAAATCCTCTGAGGCAGTTCTGCGCTGTCACCTGGGGTCACTATGAGTCAAAATCGACTGGATGGCTGGCACTAAACAACATAGAATGATTATGGCAGAGACACCTAAACTTCACACATGCAGAGCATTAAAAGTAAGACAGCAAAAGATATGCCAGAAAAATACTGAACAGCTGGTTACTTCTGGGATCACTGCACATCTTGCACCCTATTATAGAAACGCAGGGAATCAGTGGGTGAGAACTTTTAGAGAAGAGTTGTTACAGAGAGAGAATAACCTATGAAAGCTCCTTTGGAGGATGTAGTTCTGGATGGGTTTAAATGTCCACTCAAGCTGCTGAGAAGTCACTGTCTTCTGTGGCTCATTCCTTGGCTTCCGCTGCTATTATATGGAAACAGAGAAAGACGACTTGTCAGATTCCAATAAACAGAGAGTATGTAAAGTGCGTAGGAAAGTGCCTGACACATATTCAACTTTCCATAAATGGTAGACACTATTAGGAATACTTTCATTATCATTATTATGTTCTTGATCCAGATTTACTAGATCTGAGCAGTGAAATACTCCATGAAAAGCAAGGCTTCTTGTGTGGTGCTGCTACTCACTTGAAAGCTTATACCACATGGAAGATTTGACTTCTCTGCTCTTTTTGGTAATATCGAGACATATTTTCTATGTACTGTTGTATTAAAGGTCATCTTGAACTGATTCAGCCCATATGGTTTAAGCATATTGCCTTTGTTAACCTCTATGTTAATAGTATGATTGTTTACATTTGACAGGATACTTATTCCAATAATTTTATAGTCAGTGCAAGAAGATTCACATTCTTAGAGTATAACTTCAGTAACTAGAGAATTTAATAGCAGTTTGATTTTAATTCTCCTAGTTATTTTCTATTAATCTTCCTGTAAGTATATCCAGATGTATATGCAGTACATCGATTCTATGAACAAGTTCTTTTTTTAAAAAAATGCATTTCATTGAAATAAATTTATGTACAGTGAAATACACAACACTGAAGTGATATGGGTCGATGTGTTTTATTTGTTTGTTTGTTTTGCAGTGTTCCCTCCCCTTCCCTCCTACCCCTGGCAACCAACAAAGAAACTTTCTCTCTCTCTATAAACCTTTCTTGACCTTCCACAACAATGAACCAATACCATATTTGTCCTTCTGTGATTGACTTATGTCACTCAGCATAATTTCCTCCAAGTTCATCCATATTATGTGGTGTTTTGCAGACTCTACATTGTTCTTTAATGCTGCATAACATTCCATTATGTGTATGTACCATAGTTTGGCCATCCACTCTTCCACTATAAATCTTAGAGATAAGTCCCTTGCCAGATATGTAGTTATCGGCAAATATGAATTTGTTGCTGTCATTTTTGTTACGTGCTTTTTCATGGTGTTGATTTCTTTGTCCCAAATAATTTTCTATGCTGAGCTCATTTTGTTTATGACTCATGTTATCACTTCCTTCATTGCTATTGTTTCAGTATCTACTAAATACTTGTGCTGGTCCTCTTTTTTCTTTTGATTGAAAGGTTATCATTTTTCTGTGAGGTTACCCTGTGAATTATACTTTTCTTCCCCAGTTTAGAGCAGTTTGTTCTTCTTGTAGTTATCTTGACTTCCCTACCAATTAGAAGTTCTGTAATGACACAGTTTTTTCCCTCTTTTTGGTTTGTAGTTATCCTCATTTGTCAATTGATGTCTCTGGTTTCCTGTTTACAATCTTGTAGGCTTATTTACTTTGGATACTTCCATAGCCGGGTTGGTTTCTGGGTTATATCATCATGTGTGTTAATAGTCAGTTGTTGTTGGCTGTTGTTGCTTCTCTGTCCAAAGGGCTCCCTTTAGCATCTCTTGTAAGATTGGTCTGGTTTTAACAAATTCCCTTAATTTCTGCTTATCTGGAAATATCCTAATTTCACCATCATATTTGAGGGACAATTTTGCTGGGTACATAATTCTTGGTTGGAAATTTTTCTCTTTAAGTGTTTTATATATACCATCCCATTGTCTTTTCATCTGCATGGTTTCTGTGGAGAAATCCAAGCTTAGTCTTATTGGTTGCCCCTTGCAGGTAAGGGCATTTCATTTTTCCTATGCTGCTCTCATGATTCTTTCTTTGTCTTTGGTTTTGGTAAGTTTGATGATGATATGTCTGGGTGGTTTTCTTTTGGGGTCTATCCTATTTGGGGTTCATTGGACTTGCTGAATGGATATATTCTCATCTTTTATCATACCAGGAAAATTCTTTTCCAACAAATCCTCAATAGTTTTCTCTGTGGTTTTATTTTTCTCTTCCTGTTCTGGAATTCCAATTACATGTAGGTTACTCCTTTTGATGGTGTCCCACATGAATCTTAGGCTTTCTTCATTTTGTTTTGATCTTTTTTTCTGATTTATCCCTTTCTAAAGAAGTGTTGAGGTATTTGCCTTCGATCTCACCAATTCTGTCTCCCATTGATTCAATTCTGCTCCTTTGCCCATTCAATGTCTTACGTATTTCTGAAAAGTTACTATTAATCTTCTGGATTTCTTTGTGTAGATTTTGTATCATTTCTAATTTTTCATTTGTTTTGTCATTTTGTTCTTGTGTTGTTTATTGAAATTGTTCTAGGGTTTTCTCTGTGTTTTCCTTGATCTGCCTCTCAATTCGTTGAAGATACCTAAATATAACTCTTTTGAATTCCTTATCAGGGAGTTCCAATGCTGCATCTTCCTCAGGGATATATTTTAGGTCTATATCCTGGGAGCTCTGGTAGCATAGTGGCTAAGACACTTGCCTGCTAACCAGACGGCTGGTGGTTCAAACCCACCAGCCACTCCTCGGAAGGAAGGTTGGGCAATCCTACTTCCATAGTGATACTGCCTCGGAAACCCAAGGAGGGGTCGCTATGAGTCGGGGCCGACTCGACGGCACATAACAACAACAACAACAACATCCTGGTCCTTTGTTTCTCCTGCTTTATGTTGCTTCTTTGTGTGGACTGTGATATTCTGTTGTCTCCAAGGCATTGTGACATTTTTGTGTTTGTATTTAATTGGTGATTGTATGTAGGAGTGACTTGCCCACAATTTTGTTTTCTTTGTTTTGTTTGTATGTTATCTACACAAACAGGGTACTGTGGTGTGCTCCTCTATTCACTAGTTGACAGCACTTATACACTCACTACCTGTCTCCTTTCTTGTTGTCAGCCTCGTGTATGTCCCTTGGCAACCTTGGCAAACAGAGCCTATTCTTAAGTCCCTGGAATCCATATGAGAACACTGTAACTTTAAAATCCAAAATGGTTGCCATTTGTAAAGATTCAAAATGGCTGCACTTTCAGTCACTTTAAGTATCCAAAATGGCTACCACTTGTAAACATTCAAAATGACTGCATCCTCAGTCACTTTAAATATCCAAAATGGCCACCGCTTGTAAACATTCCAAATGGCTGCGCCTTTGGTCACTTTAAATATCCAAAATGGCTGCCATGTGTAAACAATGAAAATGGCTGCGCCCTCCGGACATTGAAAAGTCAGCAGCTCAGGTTGTCTCCCTGCTTGCTGTTTGCCTTCCTAGTCATAGGCCACCAGTGCAATTGTCCCTGCAGCCCTTGGTGACCAGGGCTGATCTTTAGGTTAATTCTCAGGTCCCAACACCACTTGTCAGAGTAGCTGACAGTCTGCAGCTCCGACCATCTCTCTGTACTCACTGTTTTCATTCAGGTTTTTCCACTAGTTGGTGCCTAATCTACTTCTGCCTAGTTCTTTTCAAAGCTCAGGGCTCCAGGATTATCTTCTGTATCTCTGTCAGTTGGTTTTTCTTTTCTTTGTTGGAGAGGGTCTGTGTCGCATGTATGCCTCTGCCTCCATCTTACCAGAAGTCCTCTATGAACAAATGAACAGATTCTTGCAACTACTTGATAAATTGCCTTCTGAAAAATTCTGCCTCTGGACCTACTTCTGCCTATTCTGCAAATATCAACCTTTAACTTTTAGTGGAAATGTTTTTAATCAATGATACTAGGGTAGCAAAAGTACAAGCCATTTTGGAGTAACCGATACCCTAAGCAGAACCAGCATGGATTCTGCTTCAGAATTTAATTTATTTTCTTGGATAGGACTAAAAATTAGGAAGTCCAAAAAAAGTAGGGACTCCTTAGTTTTATTTAATGAATTTTCTTGTTTAGTCTGATTTCTCTCTTTTTTGCTTATGTTTTCAGGCTCAGTTATGTGAACCATGCAGAGGACCTGGCTTCCAAGCTCCTACAGTGTTCCCCAAAGAACAGACTATCAGCACAGGCAGCCTTGAGCCATGAGTATTTTAGTGACCTGCCCCCACGGCTATGGGAACTGACTGATAGTGAGTATAGCAAATCTGCTACACTCGATCAATGCAGGGACCTCACTCTGTATAACATACATCTAGAGAGATTCACATATTTATATGTGTACATATAAGAATATATGTTTGTGTATACATTATCCGTGTGTGTGTGTGTGTGTGTGTGTGTGTGTGTGTAAAGAGAGCGGGAGAATGAGGGTGGGAAGATGTATATATTTAGTGGAATGCTGCCATTCAATTGCTAGCTTACTCGACACAGGAAGAAAATGGAGACCTTTTTTTTTTTTTTTTTTTATTGCTATCTCTGCTCTGCAGTCTGCAGCTGTGAATCTTTGTATTTGATTATGTGTGTGTCCAAAAAAAAAGATCTGAGCAGTCATAAAGGAAAAGAAAAATACGATTTACATATTTAGTGCTTTTGCATACAGTACTGTTTAACTGGCTGCAGTACACACAGGAGAAATGATTCATTTCTGTTTGATTCTCAGAGACCATCTTGGTTGTAACAATAACCTTAAAAAGTGCTGCTATGCAGTGAGCTGAGGAACAGAGTTGGCAATTGGCTAATGCACTGAATTGACATGTAAGAACTGAAGGCATGTAACTCATTTTAACTACGAATCTCTTGGCATTCATACAGACAGCTCGTCTCTGAATCTTTTTAAAACAAAACACATTCCAGGGTGGGTTTTGTTTTCTTTTTACAAAAGTGTTCATATTTACACAGTCTTTTTCAATTACATTTTAAATATTTGGTCAAGAATTTATGACTTGGAGAATCTCATCTTTCTTCCAAAGTGTGAAATAGAATTTTTGCGTAATTGTGCAAACAATAACAGTAAGAAAATTGTTACTCAGTGGTGATACATTCTTTCCAAATGCTAATTAGAGATACTTCCTTTTGGACTCTTTTCTGACTACATTAAAAATTAACATACTGCAGATAAGCACAAATATTTATATGATGTTTGTTAATGCTTGGATATATGTCACTTACAGTATATATCCATAAAGTTATTTCTTTAGTCTCTTGGATTTGAGGCCTTTTTCCCCCATTGTAGTGTTGAATTTTCTGTGACATTACCCTTTATTTTGGAACTAAATACAAAGCAGCAACTTTTCTTGCCTATTCCTACCCTAAATCTTTTTGATATCCTAAATTCAATTCTAATTACTACAGATGTATTAATTTAGTCCTCCTGTGCTCATTAGCAAATCTTTTATTACCATTTTATATATTCTCAGCCAATGACCTACTCAGTATTCAGCTCTCCTTCCTTTCTAAAAGTTTATCTGCTGACCATTACAATTACCCCCAATTAAAAAGGAAAAATTAAAGTTAAAATCCCTATGTGAAAGAAAAGTAAGGAATTAGACGTCTTTGTGTACTGAAAAAAAAAATGATGCGAAAAGATTCATTGGTTTATGGCTCATCAAACTTTAACATATGGTTTGTTTTCCTTTTACTTAACTTGTAACTTAATATTACTCTTCCTTGGTGACATCTCAATCCCATCTGACTCAATGACTGAGTTTAAGCCAGGATTTTGATGGTCTATGAATTCTGAATTCTGTAGTTGTACTTTTCTGCTAATATGGACTTATTACCCACTTGCCACTTAGTTTATCAGCCAGTGGTTAAATCCAGTTTCTATCAGTGAGTAAATGCCTACACATTATCACTCGGCAGCAGGCTGCCAACGGAGACAGCCTTGTCCCCGTCATTATTAGGCACAATGTATGCAGAACACCAGAGGGGAATTAAAACCACAAAAAATACCTCAGGGTGGTATTTTTAATATGAGAATTTAATTTGTAATTTCACAGATTAAGAATTTTGGCTGCATTAATCCCTTTATCAGCTCACAGCAGGCTATTTGCAGAAGCATAGCCATAAGGCGATATTCATTGGCAGAAACACGTCTTTGCATAACGTTAAACATCAGGAGCAGTGAAACCTTTTGAAGGGGGGAGAATAAAGATGAAAAATCATTTTATTTTTAAAGCAAGATTCTGCTAAATGCCTCTGGTAACAATTTTGAGTTACAGAAATGCTTTTCCTGTGTCTAGGAGATAATCATTATGAAGCACAAATCCAGTCACGAGAAAGGACAATCCCAGTATTAAGCACTACAGTCATTTCCATTTGGAACAATGTGACTGTACTTGTAAACATGTTTACAAAACAAAGAATTCCCAGAGTTTGGAGACTTAGAGACAGTGCCTCTGTTTTCTAGGTTAATGTTCTGCAGATCATATTTAGAAACTCTTAAAACTAACTTTATGTTAGTGTGGAATCTTGTAAAAGCCCACCATTTGGCAAATGCCAGCAGCAGCACCCCCATGTGCCTCCCTTTCAAAGAGAGTTGGAAGGAGGCCCATCTGGGAATAAGTATTAAAGAAGCAATGGATGGATTATTTTAGCATACTCATCGTGGTTTGAATTAATCAATTCCAGTGGTCTTGTGTTTTTAAAGAATGTCCCCAAAGGAGACTTATGCAAGCAGGAAGCAAAACCAGGTTAAAAGGAGAAGACTGGGAGCTAAAATAAGTTAAAAATGGGCTCAAGTCTTCTTGGCCTACTTTAATATATCAGATCCTAAGAGAAGAACATCAGGTTTCGTTATAGCATTGATACCACAGAGTACCCCAGTCATTCCATGGATGTGTATAAAAATGAAGTTGTATGCTATACCAGACTCTTACTTGCTTTGGAGGAACACATAACAATTTAACATCTTACTCTTACTGTTCCTTAAAGTTTCATCAATTTACAAAGGGAAAAAAAAAAAAAAAACACTGCTGTCGAGTGGATTCCAATTCACAGCGACCCTATAGGATAGAGTAGAACTACCCCATAGGGTTTCCAAGGCTGTAAATCTTTGTGGAAGCAGACTGCTTCATCTTTCTCCTGCAGAGGAACTGGTGGGTTCAAACCATCAACCCTTTGGTTAGCAGCCAAGCACTTTAACCACTGTGCAACCAGGGCTCCTCAATATTAGCACATGAGGTGCATCGCAGTGGTTAAGTGCTCAGGTGCTCACCAAGAGTTTCTAAGTATGGACTTCAGAATAATTTAGAAGTAATGCATTCACGTGCCATGGAAGCAGGGATTATAAATGGATCAAGCAAGAGCAGTGATGCAGTTACCTGGGGATCTGGCAGTTAAAGTTAATTCTGGTGGCACCCTGTCATCATCCTCCCTCTGTCCTGAAACCCCAGCAGCCTTGCCCCACTTCTTCACAAAGATTTAATTGCAGGGAAGTAAGTTAAGGGCTGATTTAGAAGAAATTCATTACTTTTCCCAAATACACCACAGAACATTCTCCTGTGTATACTATCAAGTTACATAAATAATTGAAGCTGAGCTATCCTTGTCAAAGTAAATGAACAAAATACACTTCATAGCACAGAGTCCTTGATTTTATTACATTCATTTGCTAATTCACAAAACTCAAATCTGCAGTGAAAGGAGGCCAACAAATTGATGCAGCGTAAAGAGCACTGAGCAGGGAACCAGACCACCTGGACGCTAGCCTCTGCTAGCAGCTGGGCAACCTGGGACAAGCCCCTTTGTCTCTCTGGGCTTCAGATTTCTCATTAAGAAAATGAGAGGTGGGCTCAGTAATCATCTCTAAGGACCTTTCCAACACTTAATGGGTTTTTTTTTTTTTTTTAATATATTCTATATATTTCCTTTATATTTTAATATATTTTTCTAAAACAGCAATATGCCATTTATTTAGGTCAACGAATGGCATTGTTGCTGTTGTTGTTGTTGTGTGCCCTCAAGTCAGACCCGACTCATAGCAACCCCTCCTAGGGTTTCCGAGGCAGTATCACTACGGAAGTAGATTGCCCCATCTTCCTTCCAAGGAGTGGCTGGTGGGTTTGAACCGCCAGCCTTTTGGTTAGCACTCAAGTGCTTTAGGCACTACGCTACCAGAGCTCCTATGAATGGCATGGCATTTTTTAAAAAATAAACAAAGCACACCCATTTCAGATGTATTTCCTGCCTCCAATTCCTAACCTTCCTTTCTCTCATGGATCCTTTCCAACCAGGCTTCTGTCCCCACCCTCTGGAACTGCACTTGTCAAAAGTTTCCAGTGACCTCTATGGTGATCTATCCATCAGTCTTTTCCAAACCCTCATTTGATCCATCAGCAGAATACAACTCAAATGACCATTACCTCCCCCCTTGTAACACTTCTTTCACTGGGTTTCCAGGACACAGTTCTCTCATGGTTTTTCTTTTGCCTCCCTAGACTCTCCTTTCCTGTCTCCTTTGCTCATTTCTCCTCAGCTGCCATAGTCTCACTGTCAGAGTGCCCTGGGGCTTAATCCTCACATCTTTCTATCTGCATACATTCCCTGGAGCCTAAGCAATCTCATTCAATCTCATGATTTAAATATCACCTATACCCTGGTGACAGCCTCCAAATATATATGTCCAGCCCTATCTTCCCTGACTCCAGACTTGCATCTCCAACTGACTCCTCAACATCTCCATTTGGCAATCTAGTAGGCATCTGAGTATTACTGAAACTGAACTCTCATCCTTTTCCCCAGAGTGGCTCCTTCTTGTAGTCTTTCCCTTGTCAGTAAAGTGCTATTCTTCCAGTTGATGAAGTAGAATCTTGGGAGTTATCCTTGACTGCTCCTGTTCACTCCATGTCCAGTTCTTCCACAGACCTAATTGGTGCTACCTTCAAACTATACCCAGAATCACATCGCTTCTCACTACCTTCACTGCTGTCACCCTGCCCCAAGTCCTTGCCATCTTCTTCTACCTGTGTTTTCCATTAGCTTCCTAGCTGGCTTCCTGCTTCTGTTCCTGCCTCCTTTGAGTCAACTCTTTCTCCTTGTTCTTTCTCCATTTTGTTTTTGCTCTTCCTCCAGATATACACATGAGTTGCCTCCCTCACCTCCTTTGACACTCTGTTAAGATGTATCTTAACAGGAAAGCCTTCACTGACCTGTTCCACGTCAGTACATCCAGTTTCTCTTCTCTGCTTTATTTTGCATTATAACACTCATCACTGTTTGATATGTTATATCGTATATTTGCTTGTTTATTTATTGTCCGTCTCTTCAGCTGGAGTCCATGAGAACAGGATTTTCTTTTCATTCTGGTTTATTGACTACAGGATTCTGCAATAGCTGGAATAGTGTGGGGCTCAATAACTATTTCTTCAGTGCATAGATGAATGCCTGAAGAAAGGACAAAGTATGTTGTTTGCAAATCCAAGTTAATTGTTCTAAATCAGAAAAAAGTGAAAGTTAACTGAGATGTGGTTCTGAGGGGAAAGCATGCTATTCTGTCATATGTGTGTATATATGCATGTAAAATGTATAGGTGGCTATGACCATTTGACATTTCCAAGGCTGATATATACCATAGTGTTTGATGTGTTGGACATCTAGAATCCCATGTCAGTTTCTATTTTTAACAGAAAAGCCTATGAATATATAAATGAAAACTTTTTGTTCTGTTTACAGTGTCTTCTATTTTTACCATCCCAAATGTAAGACTGCAACCAGAAACTGGAGACAGCATGCGGGCTTTTGGGAAAAACAATAGTTATGGGAAAAGTCTATCAAATAGCAAGCACTGACAAGCACAAAGTTCTCAAGAGAGTGCTGCAGGTAAGATGACTATTTTACATGGAAAGTAATATCAGCTAAATCTAGAAAAAGCAGGAACTCTGGCAATACTGCACTCAAAGACTTACAGAAGTGAAGTCTTAGCATGTGACTGAATCATGGCTGCCTCCTTTGGAGAGTACTTATGCTCCAAAGTTTAGCTGAGCTGCCACTTGGGCCACTTCACCCATTTCTGATTCCTATCTGGCCCCTGGTAGAGACCCTGTCATGATAAATGAGGTTTTTCTTGTTTGCTATCCTACTTTTTGACATCTACCATTCTACAGATAGGAAGCATAATCTAAACATGGCAACCTGTGGGCACGTCAGCCTGTCCCTGGCATCTCACATGCTTCATGGTAATGAGCGTCAGACGGCAGCGTCTGAGAAATCTGTGTCTGTCTTTATTGACAGGTCTGGGTTTTTTGGAATTTTGTGCCTATATGTATCCATTCCTTCCATATAATACAACTCTTTAAAACAAATAGAGAACAAATTCAACTGTAGGGAAGGATTTTTATGTGCCAGTCCATAAAGAAAATTGCTTTCATACTTGTACTGGAGTTGTTTTTGACCAGTTACCTCCTGGATCTGAGAGTGGTTTTAATTCATGAGGGTGGCAGTATCTGCTTTTTACAGTATTTAACCTGCATTACCATAATGAGGGCCTCCTGGGTTTATAAATCCCTTGGCCAATTCAGTAGAACAAAACAAAAAGTAGACTTTATTTGTTCTGCTGTGTCATACACACATGCACACAAACAAGCCTGAATTTCAATCCCACGGCCTCTGTGCTTTTTCTCGGCTCCTTTGAGGTCTCACTGACCTGAGTCCAGCCAGGCAAAGCCACTGAAACGTGTTTCAGGTCAGTTCCTCCTAGTAAGATTAGACCAAACTCACTAGACAGAATCTTTGCCAGTAAAGTCTCTAAAATTGTCAAAAGAAAAGAGATTTTAGAAGTATTTCTTCAGTATTTGAAAGCTTTTACAAGAATATATTTTATTTGCAGTTTTTTTGTTTTTTCAACTAAAGATTAATGTGTCCCTGGTGGAAGCTATTGCTCTAGATTTGGTCACAATACAAATATTTTCTCTGAATTTTGTATTTTTCACATCAACTTTTACAGCTTTCATAGCATTATTATTGTTTTGGTTTGGGTTGTTATTATTGTTTTCTTCCCAATGCAAATATTTCTGCTAGGTTCAACATTATTATTGAGGAAACATCTGTATCTTCTTCTTCTTTTTTTTTTTTTTTTTTTTACTAGACTCTATGAATTTTCTTCCAGTCAGCAGAAAAAGAAATTGTTTTAATTCTTCATTTCTGTGTGTTTTCTTTTGTTAATCAAATGAGGTCATCTTAAAGGTCAAATTATAATATAGCCTATATGTGAACCTAATACACCCCATGCAATGGCCTTATTCTGAACAATACCTGAATATGAAAATTGTAGACATAATGGAACAAAAGGTCTACCTAAAACAGGGTATTCGTGGAGGAAAACATGTAATTCTCTAGACTTTGATTTTGTTATTGTTGAATTAATCAACTGCTTAGAGCAGGCTGCAGCATCCTAACCTTCCCTCAAATGCCCCAGTTCTTTGTAAAGCAAAGAGAGGTTGGGAAGGAGAGGGAGGAGGAAAGGGTTGGGGGTTCAAAAAGGCTCAAACTATAGGAAAGTACTTTAACCAGCTCTCTTTGTGGAGTTACGCACAGCTAATGTGCTAAGTATAGTGTATCACTTCTGTTTTTGATATGATAGAGGACTGAGCAGACAGGAATATCTAAGGTCCTAGTTTCTCTCCTATGCCTCAGTGCCAAATTATTTCCATACTTGAATTCTAAGGTCACTTCAATTATTTAGTTAATAATGCTGGATTTGCATAAATTGGCCTTAGTGGAAAAGCTAATGAGATGCATTTTGCTTTGCAGTGGAAAACAATTTTGGTTTCAGAATCTTGTAACCAAATTAAGTGAAAATAAACCCGCAAGTACTAAATTAAAAATGGGATAGGTGCCACTAAATGATGAAAATGCTTCCTACCTTTTATAATCTTCTAAAGATATTAGTAGAATAATGTTTTCATGGTTTGTGCCCAAGATTTTCATCACCTTTGAAGGGTAAGACTGTCAGAAAGTTTGAGAGAGTGCCTTAAATGTGCATATAAATTTTCCTCAAGGATAAGACCAGAGCCTATATTGAATACTACATCCATTAGTGTTACTTACATTTGCATACATTGATACCAAACATTCATATGTTGAGTCCAATTTTCTAGTCATTTTAAACAAGGACAGGAAGTACAAGGTTGCTTTATTTCTTCTTTTGCTGAATACACAGGATAAGAATATCCTTTAATTGTTTAGACAACAACTTTTTAATTTTTCTGAAATGATAACGTGCTCATTATGGGACATCTCTTTTAGCAAATCCATAGGTCTTCAGACTCTATTAAATCCATAATAAATGTACAGATATCTGCCTTGTTGTTGTTGTTATGTGTCGTGGAGTCGGCCCCGACTCATAGCGACCCCTCCTTGGGTTTCCGCGGCAGTGTCACTACGGAAGTAGATTGCCCAACCTTCCTTGCGAGGAGTGGCTGGTGGGTTTGAACCACCAGCCTTCTGGTTAGCAGTCAAGTACCTTAGGCACTATGCTACCAGAGTTCCTTAGTGCATGAAATAATTTTATTGGTTCAAATGCAAGAAGTTAACTGCATGCATATTTTTGGTGACTCTTTTCTGGCCTTTGGGATTCCCAGGGTGTACACTCAGCTGTTAACTGAAAGGTTGGAGGTATGAGTCCACTGAGAAGAAAAGGCTGGCAATCTACTTCTGAAAAATTAGGAAAAACTCTATGGAAGACAGTTATTCTCTGACACTTGAGGTCACCATGAGTTGGAGTTCTCTCAACAGCAACTGACTTTGCTGTTATCTATGTTGTTGTTGATTTGGTTCCTACTCATAGCAACCCTGTGTACAACAGAATGAAACGCTGCCCAGTCTGCGCCGTCCTCACAATCGTTGCTATGTTTGAGCCCGTAGTTTCAACCACTGTGTCAGTCCGTTCCATTCAGGGTTTTCCTCTTTATCACTGACCCTTTACCAAGAGTGATGTCCTTCTCCAGGGACTGGTCCCTCCTGATAACGTGTCCGAAGTAAGTGAGATGAAGTGTCTCCATCCTCTCTTCTAAGGAGCATTCTGACTGCAGTTCTTCTAAGACAGATTTGTTTGTTCTTCTAGCCATCCGTAGTATATTCAATATTCTTCATCAACACTATAATACAAAGGCATCAGTTCTTCTTTGGTCTTCCTTATTCATTCTCCAGCTTTGACACTGTATATGAGGTGATTGAAAAATACCATGGCTTGGGTCAGGTGCACCTGAGTCCTCAACGTGACATCTTTACTTTTGAACGCTTAAAGAGTTCTTTTGTAGCATATTTGCCCAATGTGTTGTTTGATTTCTTGTCTGTTGCTTCCATAGAAGTTGATTGTGGAGCCAAGTAACTTGAAATCCTTGACAATTTTAATCTTTTCTCAATTTATGGTGATGTTGCTTATTGGTCCATTGTGAGGATTTGTGTTTTCTTTATGTTGAAGTGTAATCACCTACTAAAAGGTATGGCCTTTGATCTTCAGCAGTAAGTATTTCAGGTCCTCTTCACTGTCCAGCAAGCAAGGTTGTATCAGCTGCATATTGCAAATTGTTAATGAGCCTCCAATCATGATGTTGCATTCTATATTATTTATAATTATTAATAATCAATATTATTTAAGTACTGAATGATAATGAAATGTAATATGTTATACTATATCTGTTTGGCTCACTATTCAACTCAAAAAAAAAAAAAAACCTCGCTACCATTGAATTGATTCCAACTCATAGTGACCCTCTTTGGGTTTCTGAAGCAGTAAATCTTTACGGAACTAGATTGCACGGTCTTCCTTCCACAGAGTGGCTGGTGAGTTTTAACTTCCTAATGTAGGCTGTCAGGTAAACAGAGGAGAATACATAAGTTACTCGGGATATTTTAATTAAATAAGATAAAGAGTGTTAAGAAAAAGAAAAAATTCCAGGCGGAATATAGTGGGTTAGGAGTAAAGCCCTCTGGTCTCACTAGCTGAGCATTCAGTAGAACAGTTGTTCTCACACACTGGGATGCCAAGACCCCTGTGGAGTTTTCTTTTAAAATCCAGATTCCTGGGGCTCATGAATCTGTATTTTAAATCATCCTGGGGGTGATTTACATCATCTGCATGTTCAATTCCTTCAGTGGATATTCAATAGTGATATGCTTACGAAGTGAAATAAGCAACTTACTTGAGTCAGGACTGGAAAAAGGCAGACTTGGAAAATCCATATTGCTTGACTGCTAACCAGAAGGCTGGCAGTTCATATCCACCAGCCACTCCTCGGAAGGGAGATGGGGCAATCTACTTCCGCAGTGATGATGTTGTTGTTGTTGTTGTTATGTGCCATCGAGTCGGACCCGACTCATAGTGACCCCTCCTTGGGTTTCCGAGGTGGTATCACTATGGAAGTAGATTGCCCCATCTTCCTTCCGAGGAGTGGCTGGTGGATTTGAACCGCCAGCCTTCTGGTTAGCAGTCAAGTGCCTTAGCCACTATGCTACCAGAGCTCCTTTCCGCAGTGATACTGCCTCGGAAACCCAAGGAGGGGTCACTATGAGTCGGGTCCGACTCGACGGCATATAACAACAACAGCATCACATGAAGTAAAGCAGTTTCTCTCTCCTACACTCCTTCCTTCCCTCCTTTCTTTCCTTCCTTTATTTCAAGAAAGAATAGTATAGATTGTGCTGTACAACTCGGTAGCCAGTAGTGATGTGGCTATTTAAAATTAAATTTAAATTAATTAAAACTGAAGCATAATGTTTACGTGATTGGCTACTATATGAGTGATCGGTGGTTTGAATTCACCAGCAGGTATACCAGAGAGCAAACCTG